TAACCCAAATGCCCACTTTTAGGTGTGAGACTGGGGCTGTGCTTTGCCTGGACAGCTACAAAACAGATTGGTCTCATCAGGGCTGAGCTGGTGCCAGCTTGGGATCCAATTCACCATCCTGCTCCATGTCCATCCCTGGGAGACGCAGACTCAGCAGACAAAAGGAAGGCAGAGGCATTTTAAGAGCCATTTTTCACCCCTGCAGGCTCTCTGGACCCCTCATGCCAGAGGGAAAATGTCCAGCTCCATCCCTGACCATTTTTACCCTGTGACTGATCCAGTGCAGATGTGCAGTTTTGCAGCTCGCGTGGATACAGACCTGTGCCAGAGATACCTGACGGCTCCCGTCATGGACTCATATGCAGCCTCACCACTACCCATGACGCCCTGTTTTTCATGACACAATGCTCCTCTTCATCAAACTGCAGCCTCCCAGGTTCTGCTCTGAAAGTCCCCCTTAACAGTGCTTTGGAGGTGGCTGTCACACACATTGGTGTTCAACCCCACTGACAAGCTCACCTGGTCCACCTGCGCCGCTCCCTGCTGCCAGCCTGTCCGAGGACCACGCTCCAATCATTCAAAAGTTTCTTCCCATTTCCAGCATTTAGGAAATGTGCTTTTTAGGAGTACGTGACGAAGAGTGAGGAATCTGAGTCAATATTTGGCCTTCCTGCTGGATATAAGGGTATGGACTATGGAAAGAGGAGTGACAACCAAGGTGGGGAATGATTTTACATTTTTCTCCCATGAAAGCAGCGACAGAGGAAAGGGGCTTTAACCTGCAAATGGCACTAATGCAATTATTTTTACAAGAGAGTGCAATTTCTTTTTTTTCTTATTGCCAAGCATGAGATGCAGCCCCACTTTATCATCCCAATTCACACTGCAGGAAGCAGGACCTGTGGAGCTCTGATAACACTGCAGGAAACCCTGAAAATAGTTAAACCAATTGTTTTAGCCCCAGGCCTTGCCTCAAATAAACCTGCTGAGCTTCTTCCTTACATAGAACCCTTGACCACACAACCTGAAAAACAACAAACCCCAAACAGTCTTTTATTCAGGTCTCCAACGAGCAAACACTATCTTCCTACTGCTTCCATTCAAGCCAGTATGAAGCCGGGTAGCTGCCACAGATTAGCAAAGCCGAAGCCAGAAAGCACAGCGTTTGGGACCTGCTTCCCCGTCAAGAGTCAGTGCACAAAAATGTGTAAATAAGGGCTGAAGGCAGAAATGTCCAGCTCTCTCCCTGGGTAAGAGAGTGGGGAGAGGTTTGCAGCTTGCAGGGCAGCACCAGCTTGTGCGTGCTTGACGATGGGTCAGCAAAACTCACCCATAACAGAACAGAAAACCTTTTTGTGAAGCTGAAGTTAAAACCACCGAAAAGCCAGTGGCTTCCTTATTTTAGAAAGGGTGTGGTTTTGCAAGGGCAAGTGGTTAAAGACAAGTTGTGCCAAACTTGTCTTAGCTGTAGGATAATTTAAACCTTAACTGTAAAGCATCTTTCTAATTACAGACCTTTTAACTAATTACAAGTTGAGTTTTTGGGTCTTGCAAATGTGACTGCTTTTCACGCTCACTCCCCATGTTCAGCTTCAGGTGAAACTTGACCTATCCATGGTGGGCAAAACGGTGAGAAGATGCTGCTTGCTCAGCTGATAGGAGATGCAAAGCTGAAGTTTCCAGAAGCAGGAGAGCAGGAGGGAAAAAATCCTTTCTGCAGATAAGTCAAAGACTTAAAACTGCTTGATTCAGAGGCTGCTTCTCTCTACAAAGCAAAGGTTAATCCGTCTTCAGCTCTAGAAGTTATACTGGTAACTGAATAGCTCTTCCAGATGCAGATGGACATCCATAAAACACTCACCGATAAGTGCTGCTAACTTTTCACTGCATGCTTGAGAAACCATATGCATTTGATTATCACAATACAGATGGCACCAGACCCGTACATTCAACCGGACACCATTAAGACCTAATAAGCTCTTCAACAGCTTTGACTTGAATCAGTGGCATGGTTCACAAGGTCGTTCAGTGTAAGGAAGAAGAATAAAATCAGAAAAGTTAGAGTTCCATATAATTAAAATAAGTAGTGATGTTGTAATTAACGGTCAGAAAAAATTAAGAACCAGGAAAGCCAGACTAGAGACAGTCCATCTCCCTGTGATGATGGAAAGGCCATTTTTGCATCTAATGAGACTCAGTCACCATCTCCCACCGCCCTGCCTGGGCCATATGCTAGGACAAATGCTTCTCATAATGTTCCCCAAAGGTGCTCATCTACCCCTGTCTCCAAAGCCCCAGACGCTGGGCTTCCTCCTCCCAGCCAGGCAGCTCTAGCACTTCAACATCCTCCATAAGAGACTTCTCCTAATGACTACCTTAAATCTCCCTTGCTACAGTTTAAGCTCATTACTTCCCATTTTCAAATTGCAAACTGCAATTAAAGCCTATTCTGATGCTTATAAATGCCCCAAAAGGGGCCCCTGTGAATTTCTTCCCTCCAGCCCGTGCTGCTTCAAAGCAATTCCTATTTTTGTGAGAGAAAACCCCAGCCAGAGGAGCTGCTGTTGCATGGCTCATCCAGGTTTCTCCTTAGACGACAGCTGTCTGCAGACAGGGTCCTCAGCATGCCACAGCAAACCGACTCTAAGCAAAGCTTAGTTTCAGGTTAGCTTGAAATTAAACTGTGAGCACTGAAGTAGATTTAAAAAAAAAAAAAACCCCACAGAGCAAAAACCCTCTAGGAAAGGAATAACGCTGGGAATGGGTCCAGCAGCTGTCATTTAAAAAAAAGGCAGAGGGTTGTTAGAAACCAGCAGTGTTTAAGGGTACCTCTGCACTCATGGCGATTATCTGCTGGGTTGGATGCTACAGGCATTCGGGAGCCGATTGACAGCTGGATTGGACATGATTGCCTTGAAGACAGCAGCGTCCATCAGAGGAGTGGGCCAGACAGAGCTCACATGTCAGGTTGTAACGTATGGCCCGTGTCAGCCTCCTTCCCAGAACTGCAAAGCAGGAGGAAACGCACAGGTTTCTCACCCCTTTATTGAGGAAAAGGGTCCCGAGGGAGATGCAGAGGGCATCTCCCATCCCATCACATGCGTACATTGTAGGCTCACAGCACTTTGCTGGCTGGCTCAGGCAGCCCTGGGAGTCACTGCATGAATACAGCAGGATTTTTTATCGGTTTATTTTTCGTACTTTATCTTTTCTATTCTAAGACTTAAATCGATCAGCAGATTTATTATCACAAAATGAAAAAAAAAAAAAGAACAATCTTGAGTGGTGATATTCTAGCTTTCCTCAATCACAGCATTCAGAGACCTGAATCCTTTACTCTCATCCAGAAACAAACCTTGCACCAGGATGTGACACCAAATAACTGCTGGGATTTCAAGTCTCCTGGAAATGAAAGACCCGTAAGTAGGAACCACAGCCACAGCAGTCCCAGGACCTCGCGTTCATCTCTCCTGCTGCCAGAGTGGCTTGAGGACGGAGACTCCACAACCTCCTTAGGTCCTTCCCTTCCCCATCGCCTCCCCGATGCGAGCTGGACTTCACTCCCCAACAAAAGTCTCTGGAGCACAGAGCTCCAGGCTCTGCGAGATGGGGTGTTTGTGACGCAGAGGAGCAGCTCCCCGTCTGCCTTGGTGTCCTCAGCTCTGCCCGTGCAACTGGGAGCACTAGCAGTGGTCAGGACCAAGCCTTACCAGCCCTTATGGCTCCTCTCCCATCCTCCTGCCGACAGCATATACTCCTCTCGACCGACCACATGTGGCACGCAGGATAAGGACATGTGGCCTTCAGTCCTTGGGAAGGGGGGTGGCAGCATGTTCTTGCCTCCCATTGGCCTGAAAGACCACTACAAGCACGTCTTCTGGTGGAATGAGGAGGACTTTTGGGGCTGCCCCTGTTCTGAAGCTGCGCTGAGCGATGTGCTCAACCCCTCACTTACGTCCGAGCAGCACTTTAAGAGCAGTTTAACCCGTGTGGGAATCTGGTTAGGTTGAATTTACCGTGAGTGCCCTCCTCATTAAAGGAGTCTTAGACTGAATTAAAATCCTTCTGCTTAATAAATTAGGTTAAAGTCAGCCCAGATTAGAAAATCCCTATAATAAATCAACCCTCTAGATTCAAGCAGCTCTCAACTGCTAGTTATTTTCTCTGGCTGCTTTTAACCCTGTTTTCTCACTCTCACCGAGCAATGATAACACCACGCCAGGCTCTTGGTCGACCTCTGGACCCCCAGCTCAGCTGCTGGGAGCTACAGGGACACACGTGGGTGATGCACTGTCGCGATAAAGCCTGCACAGAAACAGCACAAACACCACAGTTTGTGTGCCACAGATACAGTGCTGACGATTTGGAAGGATGAATCATCACACAAAGCAAGAACAATTAGAGATTCATAATTGGGAGGAGGGAAGGCTGGGGTGGGATTGGAAAAGGAAAGAGCCGGGCTGGGATTAGTTACTTCAGAAATAATAATAATATCTCAAGTTACCAAAAGTACTGCACCCCCAGGCCAGAGAAGGGACATAGAGGTGGTGGGATGTTAATAAAAAAATGTGATTACATGTCACTATGTCCCGCATCCTACACTGAATGCCAGGGAAGCTTTTTTATCTAATTAAAGTATAAAGATCCTTTACTTTGGGGCCACAGAAACACTTGGCACAACCATGCTGAGCCTCACCTCTGCAAAGGGAAACGTCTCCCTCTCCATGAAGGGAATCCCACCCTTCCCCAACCAGGAAACGCAGCCCAGGAGGGCAAATGGAATTGGTTCGTGGCAGAAGCCAGGGGAGGATCCAGGAAAAATCACGCTCCCTGTGAGACATTTATGACCAAAGAAGGATTTCCCCCACTATCATCTTGTCTGAGCAATGGGGACTGGTCCTCCGCTGATGCTGGAGAGCATTTAACAGCGCAGCCGTTGAAGACAGGAGGCTGGGGCAGCTAGTTAATGGCCTAGACGTCAACACACCCATCTCACTGACCTGGGTTTTTGAGGGGACTCTTTGGGCTCCTTTGAACCGAACCAGCTGCTGGTCTTATTCCTCTCATCTCTCCCTGCTGCCGCGTGGACGGATGAGCCATGGGACGGTCCCACTTTCTCCCCCTGGCCTTTGCTCCCCATGTCACTCTTGTTGCCCCCATGGTGGAAAAGGCCGCCCTTTGCTTTCTTGTCTTCCTTCTTTGTTTCCTCAGGCTGTTTGTCCTTTGTCATCTCTGTGGAGAAGACCATGGGTGTTGCAGCTTGTGTCGGCTTGTTCTCTGAGCGACTGTTTTCCTCCATCTTGGCTCTGCCCAGATGATTACTGAGAGTAACGGCTTTTGTGGAAACCTTGAGCTCTTCCTGCAAGACTAAGCTGGGAGGAGATGGGATGAACCTGGGCTCGTCTCTCTGCTGTGTCCTCTCAAAGTTGCTGACCCCCCAAGGCACCTCGTGGGAGTCGGGATGGAGCGGGGTGAAGCCAAAGCCCTCGTCCTGACGTCTGGGGACGCTGGGCACAGATAGTGGCGCAGAGCTCTGAGGGACAGACACGGGGCTCTTTGGTGCAGGATCGTCGCTGTAAACGTGGCTCCCATTGATGCAGAGGGAAGACCGGGACACGGGATCGTTCTTTGGCTTCAGGCTTTGGATTGCTTTTGGCTCCAGGACCGGGCTGACTTGGGACACATCATCACTGAATGCTCTCTTGTGGGTCAGCTTTGGAGATGGCAAGTAGTCTTTCACTGAGGGAAAATAAAACACAAAACAGAGGTGAGGTCATCCGAGCAACAGGCACAGGTATGAAAAGCATCGTTATCTTTTATCTGCAAACACTAAGGAGATCTGTGAAATCACACCGGCTTTCTCCTTTCCAGGCTCTACCAGACTATAATTATATTACTAGAAATGCAAAGCATGGGTCACAAGTATGTGGCTACACAAGCTATACGATATTACCCCCGAGCACATCACCTCCCACTGCAGGATCTGGACAGGAAGTTTGTCTCTGTAAGAAAACAACCCCTTGTCTGAGAGGATCTGAGATCGATAATAAATGCAACGAACTACCCAGAAACTACTTAAAGGGCTTATGCTTCCGTGTAATTTAAGAGTTTGCATTGAATAAAAGATGACGAGCCTCTGAGCTCCACTCTGACAGGCCAGGCTGCTGCTTTACGTGATATAAGCCAGGAGGATGCAGTGCCTGCTTCTCCCTCCCACTGCCTGACCCTGTGGCCATTGCTAACGCTCAGCAGATTTTGGGGGTTACATGGAGAGCTCAGTGAGAACAACTGCCTGAACTTTAGGTGACGAGCAGCTGCTTTCTCCTCCTAGCCAGAAATGCTGTCTCCTTTGCTGGTTTTGGCTGGGGCAGAGTTAATTTTCTGCACAGTAGCTACTATTGGGATATGTTTTGGATTTGTGCTGAAAACAGTGCTGATAATACAGGGGTGGTTTAGTTACTGCTGACCAGTGCTTATACAGAGTCAAGGCCTTTTCAGCTCCTCACACCACCCCACCAGTGAGTAGGCTGGGGGGATACAAGAAGTTGGGAGGGGACACAGCAGGGACAGCTGACCCCAACTGACCAAAGAGATATTCCATACCATGTGACATCAGGCTCAGTATATAAAGCTGGGGGTAGAAGGAAGTGGGGGATGTTCAGAGTGATGGCATTTGTCTTCCCAAGTAACCACTATGCGTGATGAAGCCCTGCTTTCCTGGAGATGGGTGCCGATGGGAAGTAGTGAATGAAATCCTTTTTTGCTTTGCTTGCATGCACAGCTTTTGTTTTAGATATTAAACTGTCTTTATCTCAGTCCGTGAGTTTTCTCACTTTTATTTTTCCAGATCTCTCCCCCATCCCAACTAAGGGCAGCGAGCAAGCAGGTATGTGTGCTTAGTTGCCAGCTGGAGTTAAACCATGACACTCCTTCAGCATGACGCGAGGATGATGGGGCCAGACCGGTGCCTCCACTCACTCTCCAGCCACACACATGAATGTCACCCACCAGAAACCAAGAGGTATCACGCGGGCAACTTCACCAGCACTGTGACAAGTAGCATGTACCCAGGGACTCTCACCCAATATGGGAATTTGCTGTCTCCTGCCAATTAAGCCATTTAATTATATATTTCGTTTTCAAGGGATGGCAAGAATTAATTCACTACAAGGGCCTTTTTTGTTTGCAAATCGCCGCTCTCCAAGCGCCAAGAGCTCAGATTGCTTTAATCACCGGGAACCGGTCACTGTTTCAGCTTTGCCTCCGAGCCGGAGGCGTCTCATTAGACAGCCAGGCAGCAGCAACATGCTCCGCTTCACCCAGCCCTATCCCAGGGGCTTACTGCTACAAGCCAGTGCTGGCGACCTGCTTTTAGGGGGCAGAGAAGAAACAGTCCTAAAGCACCCTCGGAGCCCGCAAGCTCGTGCTGAGCGGCAGGGAGCACATGCAGCAACAATGTAAGTCAGGCTGTTCCTATACAGGCTCAACATGAAAAGCAAAATCTTAGACATCTCCCCCCATTCTGGCAAGCACGTTACTGTCAGCACGCAGAAAGTTTCAAAGGGTTTGTGCAGGATGCTGCTTTTTAGGTAAGCAATTAGTTAACAGATTTGCAGGAAAGCCTCAACAGCCCCTTACAAAGAAAAGAAGGAAAAAAAAAAGGAGGGTGGGAATTAAAACCGTTATCCTCTTACCAGAGCGTTCAGTGGACAGACTGCTGTGTCTGCTCGGGGATTTGGTTACCTCGGGAACATTTGCAGCCAAGCCCAGGCTGGCAGAAGAGATGGTGCTGTCAGATCCCAGGGAGGTGTTAGATTGCGTCAGGGATGACTTGCGCAGCTTGTTCTTCAAGAAGAAGCCCTTGACTTTGGACTTCTTGCCCCCAATGTCGTAGTCATCCTCCATGTCGAGGGCACCCATGCTGCTGGGGATGATGGCAGAGGCTGACTCCAAGTCGTATTTCTTCTTGCCTTTCACCTTGTCCTTCAGCTTGCCAAAGGGAGACCGTGGCTTGTCCTTCATGGACAGGTCAAACATGCTGGCTGTAAGGTTGTTGCGTGTGAACTGGATGCTCACCAGGATCTCACCACGCTCCTTCTCCTTCTTCCCAGCCTTGGAGTGTAGCTTGTGCCACCTGGAGTCAGAGAGGAAAGAAAAGGAAAGGCCCATACATCATTTCCAAGAGCCACAAGCCAGAAAAACCTCAGGGAGCTTGTTGATGGGTGGGAGCTAGCACAAGCACCCCAGAATTCACCTAAGACCTGAGTCAGAGACACGCAAACACCAAGCACAGGTGTGTCGCACGGGACCAGAACTCTCCCTGAACCACAGTGGCTTTGTAAGAGCTCTGTCTCCATCCCCATCCTAAAGCACTTCCACTAAATAACCTGGCAAACACCATTTCTCTCACCCTGGCGTCAGATACTGCCATGCATTTCAGGGGGGAAAGTTACTGGGGCCAAATTTTTGTACGGTCAGTTGATATGTTGCTATGAGCCCATGTTTAAAAAAAAGATAGTGCTTTGTGCTTGCGTTTTAAATATTCAAGAGCCAGTGACTCAGAACAAATCCTTTCAAGTCAGAGACAGTACCGTAATGGCAAAGGCACTCAATGACATTCATTAAAATAACTTTAGGCCAGACCCTCTGTGCCTCACCCTAAATAAGTTTCCCTAGAAGTGAAGTTTGTCTAGAAGTGTCCTTGCATCAAGCATTTAGAGGATGCTGCATCCCAGGAGCTCTTTATGGGCAGGAGGAGCTGCCATGCAGCACCTAGTCTATCCAACCCGACCCGGCCCAACCCCATCCCACCCAACCCTACCCTACCCATGTTACTAGATTTTTGGGAAACATCTGCTTTCCCACAGCTGGCTGATGGCAGTCTCCAGCCTGCAGCCTCCAGCTTTGGGATCTGCGATGACCTGATGTGATGGTGGAGGATGCAGCACATCGATACATCTACCACCTTCCCCTCCTCCAAATCCCTCAATTCTGCTGAAACATCTGTAAAATCTGAGGCAGCCAGAAGCCTGAGCTGAGAAGGGAAAAGGACTTTAATGGCCCCAGTGCTGGTTGCCGAAGCACAGGACCGTGCCGCTGGGGCTGGCGACAGCTCCCAAATGAGATATTGGCCATATCCACCAGCACAAAAGCTTCAACCATCTCCACAGTAGATTAATGGATGATGCTCGCCGCTGCCCTGCCCCACACAAAACCCGTAACACAGACTTTGCTCACAGAGATGGAAAGAGCATGGGAAAAGCCTTCAAAATATACACTGCACAAGGGAAAAGAACCTCCCAACCTCCATTTAGGGCCCAATCCTTCTGCAGGGAATAACCTGTGCACTGGGAGGGTATGAAGCAACCCTTGGTATGTGATGGGAGAAAGGAATTGCCTCCTGCCAGCTGGAGTGAACGGTGGATGAGAGGGCACCAAAGCAAGAGATGCCCAGAGACACCTTCTAGTTCTCCAGTTCACAGTGGTATCATGGTTAGACAGGGCAGCACAAAACACAGGCCATGAGGGAACCACTTCTTCCCGAAGACCGCTGCTGACACAGTGGTCATTTGCTCCCTTCTCCTCCCATAAGATGCCCCATCTTTCTGCCCCAGTTCCAGGGGTTGCTTCCCAGGACGGCTGCAGCAGGATGAGTGGGTCTCCAGCACAGCCGCTGCCCCAGCAGCTCTAATCCCTCCCAGATCAAAGTATCAAAATTCCCCTTAACAAGGTGCAAGGAAATCTGTAGGTTCAGGACAGACCCTATTTCTCCACAACATGCTTCACAGGCAAAGCAGGCAGCAGCAGGAGGTGGAAGAAATTTCTAGACCTGAGTTAACAACTTTCCAATGATTTCCCAGAAAATAAAAATCCCAGTGGTGTTTTACATCCACTTGAAAAGTGAAGTCACTGAAAAGAAAAAAAAAAAGGGGAAGGAAAATGTGAAGGGACGGAGGTGGGTGTGACCATGCTGAAATCACCAGGGCAAGGAGAAACTTGAATCGCATCCTCCAGATGTTTCTGAATTACTGCTGGGGATGTTATCACATCTCGGACGAAGGGAGGAGCTGCAAAGCCTGGGGAGCCTACACAGTACCTCATGAAGGGGGCACAAACCCCCTAATTCCCTGCTGGGATGCCTGGATAAATAACAGGAGTGCACAACTGGAAGCACCCATGTCCTTCAGCACACAATTCAGGTGCCACCAAAACACAGGAGGGCCAGCATCTGTGACTTTGCTGGGCAGAGACGTGGGGTTAAATCCCCAGCAAACCCATTCCTATTCCTGCCACTTGCTTATCCCACCCCTATACAACGCTCTTTGAAAAATTTTCAGTACCCAGGCTTCAAGCTTGAAAATATCCAGGCATGCAGAAAAAAAAACATGGAAAAAAGCAGCATTAACCCCTTGCAGCGAGTCATTGGCTGCAAAGAGACATCCAAAAGGCTGATCCACTGCCAGGGACCAGTTAGGGGAGCAGGAGCAGGTGAGTCAGTAGACTCTTCCTGTAGCAGCAGTGAGGAAAAGGCTGCTTGGAACGGACTGTGGCTACAGCACATTAAATATTATTTTGCTCAGTTTGATGCGAGACCTGGAAGAAGTTCAAGAGGGAAGGGCTGCAGCAGCCTGCCAGCTGGGAGAGGAGAGATTTGGGGGCTGAATCATTTAGCAGGAAAAGGAAAAAAAAAAAAATCTTGCAAGTAGTTTTTGTATCTTACGTCATCCCGTGGAAAAAAAAAATAGAAAATCTGGGTGGATTAACATAAGGAAAGGCACAAGCTTGAGGATGACGAGATGTAACAGCCCGTAAAATCCCTCCACTGGCTCAGCTCACATGGATACGCTCTCAGCACCTCCCGTCCCATTACTTACAATATTGTGGTCATTAAAATTAATTCGGGTGCTCAGAGGTGACGCCTTTGAAAGAACAAGCCTTAAAACCTGATCTGCTTCAAAAAGAGTCCATTCAACGAAAAACGTCTGCTTATGCTGGTGCTGGATTAAGGACCTATTTTTGCTTCCCAAGACCTGATCAGCAGTCAGCAAGCTATTTGGACTACACCTCAAACAGGGAACAGAGCTATTTTTAGGCTAAGCTCTAAGTTTACGGCACAAGATGAGTGTTTGGGAGGATTAAGTTGTTCCATGTGGGGTTTTTCTTTTTTTTATGAATCAGTTCCAGTGGAAACAGGAGGTGCAAACATTGCCTCGGCCGGGACGTGGCAGGAGACTGGGAGTGGGGCGGGTTTCAAGTCTCAGCCCAGCCAAACACAAACTCCTGCAGCATCTTTTCACTATTAACCCCATCGCACACCTGTTGGTCTCCCATGTTTCTTGCACAAGCTGCCCTCAGGGGGAAGCCCTGGGTGTGAGGGGGTCTGGATTGGGACCACCCAAGCCCAAGTCTCGGAGCGGGACATGATCTCTTTTACGGGGCCAGACAATATGTCTGGAAAAACAAACCAGCCTCTGCCTGTACAAACCCTTTTCCAAGTCTGAAAGAGCAACCGTGGGCTTCATAGCTCAGGTTCAGACCAATCGCTCTGAATTTCACTGTGTTAAGAGTAATAAGACTGTGGATGAGGTGCTGGCACTGAGGAACGCAAGTAGATCGAGGAAGCCGTGTCAAGCATGTTCAGCACTGGGAACCCAGGACTGCAAGAACCCACTTCTCAGAAGTGTTTTGGAGGCCTCTCTTGAGGATGGTGCAACCAGCTTGGGTCCAGCTCCTTGCTGCACAGGACATCCAGCACAAGCCACCCATCTCTGGCCACCTACTCCGGGGGCACTATTCTTAGCAAGGTTTGGAGGGGTCACAGCCTGACAGACTTTGCTAGTTAAAAAAAAACATTAAATTAAACAGGCTGTCTTGTCCCAGTGCCAGAGCTGGTGGTGACTGAGAGCAGGATTGCTGCTAGCTAAGGAGACATGCTTTGTGCCTGAGTCTGTGCTCCTTCCCTTGCTCCCTACAACTGGAAATGGATCTCCCCCTTGAACACGGAGCGGAGGATGAAACCTGCAGCTTCCCAGCCTGCTGGTCCTGTATCGATGCCCTTCTGCTCCGTGGAGAACTGCTCTTTTCCATCCATCAGCTACTGCCCACCTCCACTGCAAGGTGATGCTTCTGCTGAGACACCTTGGCCCAGGCCATATGGAGAGACGGGCTTACTCAGAGACATCTCCAACGTGACATGTCCAGGGAATACAGCTCGAGCCAGCTTGAAGACACGATCTGCAGGTTCAGGCAATTAGCTTTTGCTATATTCTTCCCTCTTACACCCCATGAGTCTGGTGCCTCTCTGCATTGGGCGCCTGCTTGCCGGGTGCAAATCCCCCAAAGGCAAAGAGCTTCTCCCAGCATCACCCCAGCATCTGTCCTCCACAGATGCTGTGGCAGGGAAGGGGCAAGTGGACACCCAGACCGTGGGGATCTCTACAGGGGGAAGGAAGTGGCAAGCTGCCCCAGTGCACAGGGACGGGAAAGGAAACCTCAAACAGAAAACTGCCCGCAGACGCCCCGGAAAAGGGAAGCAGCTGGAGGCCCCTGCGAGCTCTCGGATGGCTCCTGGGAAGTGAGATATGCTCTGGGGGTTTGCACGCTCACATCCCACCGCAGTAACACTGCTTGTGAGCACCGACGTACAGTGGAGGGCTCCCCAACCCCCCTGCATGGCTGTGCATGCTCATTTAGGTCACCGTGTTTAATCAGCACACCCGAACTGTCTCCAGACAGTTTCAGTAAAACCCTTTCCTGCGCAAAGGCTCCTCTCTCCTCCCACTCGCCTCCACTGAGAGTCAAGGAGAATGGTGAGCCACACAGCACGGCTGCCAAAAGGCAGGTTTGAGAGGAAAGGCAGAAAGCGCCTGGCATCTATTTTTACATTTGCTGTTGCTGGGATCAATCGGAGCAGCAAGGGAGGCATGGAGAACAGAGCACAAAGCACTGCTGTAACTGCAGGCACCCAAAAAACACATGCTTTCCCCCATCCTCCAGCAGCATCCCATACCGGAAAGCCAACTAGTGCTGAGCAAAGGGAAAAAAACACCCTGGCATGCAAACAAGAACGTAGGAGCTGTTTGTTAAGGAGGGAAAGCGACCCCACAGAAGATGCTGACTGGATGGATTTGCTCG